AATAGATTGGAAATCGCCCAATTTGTAGTCAGCAACAGAGCGGCTTGCTTCCGTAACAACTCCAATTGACTCCACAGTTGAGGAAGAAATCTCGTGATCTTCGACCGCGTTCGGGCCCAATTCTTGATCATCCAGAACCTTCTGCACGGTCCCACTGCCTGCCCTCCTCGACTTGATAGCTGCTGCATGCGGGGTCGGCACAGACCTCGATGCCGCCACGGCAGCCGCCAAAGCCGCTCCCGGCTTCGCATTCGATCTTACTCCACTGAACAGGGCCGGCAACTGTCTCGAAGAGGAGGAAGAAGAAGAAGAAGAAACTCTTCGAATCGGATCGTTCACCCGAGTAAAGGAACTGGACTGTGGTTTTAGAGATTGTGCCGGTTCCTGCGAAACGACATCGTATTGAAGGAGCAAGGATTCGGATTTGGAAGGGAAGATATCTGACTGAGGTCGACGATGGTGGTGAATAGATGACGGGGATGGGGGAGGAGAAGATGATGTAGAGGAATCAGAGGCGTTGAGGATTTCGTCAATCGTACGATGAGGAACTGAATCTGAGTCGTCATCGGAGTCCGAGTGGATGAAAGAGTTGAGATCGAGCTCCATTAAGGTTTTTGTACTGGTGAGCTTCTTTGTCATTTTGGTTTCTTGTCTATGTGGTGTTACGGCGCGATGACTTCGTCCATGGCGGTGAACCGTTTGCTCTAACGGTGCCGCTGACCAGAGACAACGGAAGTAACTACCAGTTTTAGACCAAATTAAGAGGTTGATCAAAATTGCAAGAGGAATTGGTTAAAAGCATTCGATTGATTTAAGTTAATTAAAATAATAAAAGAATAATAACATACAAAGATAAAACTATAGTATATAAAGTTATTTTTAAAAATGATTTTAAGTTAATTAAAATGGTAAAAATTTGAGAACATAAAAGGTTAAACTTATAGTATATAGAGTTATTCTTCAAAATTTATGTTAAAGTGCTTTGAAAATATTAGGAAAATAGCACTTAAAACTAAGTAGACAAGAAATATTTGAATAAACAACTTTAAATATTGTTTAAGATAAGTTGTGGTTATTTCAAAAACAAAGAAAATCAAGCATTTCGATCCTTCTTTTGCTACTTAAAATAAATATACACTTTCTATTTTGGCATTGTTTATGGTTATAGCTAAAATGTTTCTGTCATTGAACCAACTTGTAAATGGTTCTGTGTTTGTGTGTGTATGTGTGTTCTTTTTTCTTTTTTTTTTTTCTTATCAATAAAATAGATAATATTTTTATCAAAAAAATTCGTATTATTTAAAGACACCAAACTCAACTCTTTAAATAATTATTGTTTTATAAATTTTTTAATTAATCTATAACGATAATTAAAACTTTAAATTTAATTATATGTAAAATTAAAGTAATAATTTTTTTGACATAAAAATAAATTTAGGACTCGAATATGAATATAATAATTTCATGTTCTTTAAGTATGATGTTGTTAATAATATTAAGATAATAATTAATTTTATTAATATTGTTCTCTTTATTTATCTTTTTATATAGAATTCTATTTTTTAAAAATTTTGTAATATTTTAACTCAACTAAAATATGTTCCTTAAAAAAATTTACTAGCAAATTATTAATTAATAAAAATAAATGAACTTAATACAAATACAACAAATAATAATAACTATTTAGTTCTGAACATGTATTGTCTATTCTCTTATTTTTTAAAATGTTAATAAAGTTGTTTAGCTAAAAATTTAGATGTTAATATAATTAGATTTAATCAAATTTAACTTTAAATTTAATTATGATATACTTAAATTTAACTCGATGAAAAAGTAAAAATTCGGAAACTCTTGAAGATCAAACTCTCTTGTAAGAACAAAAGTTGAGAACAATAAAATTTTTTGAAATAAATGTTGTGAGTCTCATATAAGTCCAGTACACTTTTACCACCAAGGATGAAGATGAAAGCCACATACACAACTAATTAGGGGCCAAAAAGAAAAGGGAGACAAGACCTCTAACCAATAAGGAAACTATAAAAATTTAGCTAAAAAAGATCCTATAAAAATAAAATAGTAATGATAATACAAAAACGATTTTACATAAAAATTTAGTATTTTACTTTCAGTTTTAACTTATAAGTAATTTAAATTAATTAATAAAACTCATAAAGTAAAATTTTTATAAAATTAATACACAAATAAAATAACAAATTACGTTGTTTATAAAATTTAAAACTCATCATTTTAAAATAAA